ATATTAATAAAAAGATTGGTAAATTTATTTGGAGAAACTACTTCTTGTTTTCAGTGAAAATCCAGCTAATGTTTTATGGTTCTTATCTTCAGAAGTATTTACTGTATTGTATTCTATTTGTTTTATTACTTTTATTTTAGTATTATTACTTTCCTTATATTATTACAGTTAATGTAACAGATCTCTTTTGTAAATGGGACTGTTTTTCTCAGAAAATTCTTTGCATAAATAAAGAATGAAATAAAACAAAACAATAAATTTGATTCAATTCAACTTTTCAACTTTTGTTGCCCCAGTTCACATCAATGGATGCATCTACGTTCTGCACAAAGAAAACCAAGCAGATCCGGTTCTGATCAGTTTATTAAATCATGTCATTTCAAGATCATATCAAAATTGATGACACTTTTTCTTCTGCTCGCTGCTTTGATGGAGCTGAAACTCACCAGAAAACTCAGTCTATCGTGTTCTTTGGTGTGTTTATAAAAGACACTGCGACTAACTGAAGTGAAAGAGAAGCCAGAGGAGAGATGGCTTCAAACATAAACAAACCAGCCTTGAAGCAGAGCAGAGGCAAGCTTGGAGCGACAACATGACATTTGGGAGCTTCTCCATTAATATGAATTCAGTTTTACTTTCTGTATCTCTGGGATTTTCTATGCCTCTGCTTCGTATCTAAAGGACAAACTACCAAAAAAAATGTGCCTCTGTTGAGTCCTATCACCCTTTTTCTCTTCCTACTCTCATCCTGTTGTAATGAAGCGCATCCATCCCATCATCAAACCCCACCTTGCCACCTCCAAAGGTCACCCTAAGCTGGAGTAGATCGATGCTTTCAGAACAGGAAGGGCAGATGAGAAAACAGGATGGAGGAAGAGAATGATTGAGTGACAGCCTTGGTATGATGGAGGGATGGAAGGTGAAGGAGGAGATGGACGCGAGATGGATTTGAAGGGAAAGGAGGGAGCGAGAAATTAAAAGCCCTACTTCAGCATTCCTGCACGTCTCTGTGGGGGAGACGGCAGGAGGAGGAGAGGGTGAGAGAATAGGGAGGAGATGATAAATGGGGAGAAATAAATTAAAAGAACACAGGGGAGCTGTGGCTGAGGGATGGGAGGAAGGAGAAACAGGGACGGAGAAAACGAGGAGCAGAAAACAGTGTCAGTTTAATTGAAATCATTATTGATAATGTGTGCTTTACATGACAGGAGGTCAGTGTTCAGATATGGATGATGCAGTTCTAACTTTCAACATTATTTAAATTATATGTTAAGATCTAAAACTTAAGCGTCTTAAAAGAAACATGACAGAATCCTGCTTGCATCACAGTGCTTTGCAGCTCATCTCCTCCAGAACCAAGAGCACTCCATATAGAAGATACAGCCGAAGATCACAGATCCCAATGCAAGGTGAGTAACTCGGCAGAGGAATCCGCTTTATATGGACTAATTCATCAAAAGCCTTAGTTCTGCAGACATGCCCCTTTTTTACAGTCTATCCTGTTCCTCAGTATAACACTGGCAGCTTACAGCAGAGGCATAAAGGTGCAGCTCCAGCCCTGCATGCCTCTGCTTTTTAAAGAATATCGATATCAGCGCAGACTGTGGGCTGCAGCAGCTACGTAGTCAATAATTCAACAACCAGACTCACAGCTGAGAAATTTAAGACCTCCATTGTCTGAGTGCTTACATCACACTAGTGTTCACATGTGGCTTTTTTAATTCTCCTTATTACACTAATCTCTGTGCATTAATGTCTGTCCCTCATCTCTCCTTGTTTCCAAAACATAGCGATGTTATCTGCCCTTTTACTGTTTTTGTTTTAGTTCCTAGGTCAGTCCTCTTACAGACCAGTCTGACTAAAGACAGAGAGATATTCTATTATCTGAAGATGCACAAGGCAGAGAAAAGTTGACTTGTTAATAAAAACTGAAAGGCTGAACAATAGGGCCAAGGATTCACTGTGCCATATTTTCCATCTTTGCTCAGAGCCCCAACTCAAATTTTTACGAATTCAACAGTTCATAGCTTGCAATGTATGCCGTCACACCGTATGAACCAACACTCAGATGCATCTGACTACTCAATACCCCGGCTATTCCGGCATGCAACACAATAAATAGAGGTAGAAGAAGAAGTAGAAGAAACTTCAGTTGTTGTTTCACGCATGACCAATGTGGAAAATCCCAGAGAAAAGAGTTCTCAGTCTGGTTGTATCATTGCTTTAACATGCAAATCACCCATGATTTCAATCAGCTGATCAGTCAAGTGAGGTAAACATTCACTAAATGAGAACTGATTTTACATACGTGTTTCCCTTTCCTCTTATGCTCATTTAACTTTTTATTTTTTCAAAAGATTCAAAACGCATTGCAAACGACAATGCAAACCATTTAAAGTTTGATGTTTCCCTCATGCTCCTCTAATGCGATACTTAAAAAAACGTCTAGGTGTAGAAAAAAGGGCTTAAGAAGTCCTGTTGATTTGGAACATAGCAAACATGGAGGAAGATACCAGATGAGACAGAAATTCAACTTCTTGGCCTTAAATTAACTCAGTGGATCCCAATCTTTTCTTGCTTAACCCTCGTTTGGACTTAAATTAAAGCCTTAGTCAAAGCGCTTATAAATAGACTGAGAATCAGGGACAGGATTTGAAAACTAAAGCCCACTAATGCTCTACATTGAATTTCAAGTGGAGCAATTTCACCCAATTGTTCCAAATCCTTAAAGCAAAGACAACATAAACGGTTTTTAGTTTTTCTTCCACTTCATAATTATGCAAAACTTTTTAATCGCTTTGTAGCTTTTAGTTGCTTTGTAATATTCCCCCCAAACTATTTTTAAATTTAAGTTAATAAGAGGAAAAATTTGGAAAAGTTGAACAGCTTCGAGGAGCGTTGTTGCTGCAGAGTTTATCCCGACGTTAAAGACTAATGAGCGAGATATTCATTGAACACGAAATCTGATTAATCATTATCAGAGTAAGGAGGGCAAGAGCTTCCTTTTTGGAAGGGATTTTATACTTTGGCTCAACAGAGCAGAAAATCAACTTGTGGAATAAAACAGCTGAGTCACAAAATTCGATTAAAGAAAAAACAAAAAAAAACAAATCAGCAGTCAACAACTAGCCTCAATGGATAGAAAAACCTACAAATCAGTTTCTTCAGCCTTGTAGTTTCTATATCAATGAGTCTGAAGAAGCCATTTAACTAGGGGTGAAGCAATTAATCATGATTAATCAATTATTTAAATAATCACCAACTAATTAGCAATCGATTAATCATTAACTGGAGTATAGAGACTCTAAAACATGCCTTTAGCTGACAGAGCGACCCACTTCTACGAGTAATTATGCCAAAATTGTAAAATAAATATTTATATATATATGTTTTAGTCAATACGACCTATCCAGAACTCATCAAGTGGGAAAGTTTTTGCTTCACCTGGTTTAAATTCTGTTAAAAAATCTTCTTTAAGAAACATTTTGCTATCCAAATATTAAATGATATTTAACTTGCACAGACAGTTTTGGATGATAAATATAACCAGAATGTGAAATCAAATTGATCATGTAAAAAAAACTCCAACACTTACAGAGGCCTTACACATCGAATCAGTGGTTGCCCGAATAACGTTGGTGTTTTTCACCCTTTACACTAAAATTCACCATAAAAGAGAGACTGTCTTGGATGCTGCAGTTATCTTCATCAGGTGACCCACTATAGTTGCTGTAAAGCAGCTGAAACCCTAATTTGTTTAATTTTAAAGCAAAGCACTGACCCAATGTCACAGAAGGACCATTGCTTCTGGAAGTTCTGTCAGCTCAATATAACTAAACCCAATCAGAAAGATGTTGTGAGCTGAAATATTGAATAGTGAAATAAAACCCTTCTGTCATTATTTATGGACTTTGATCTTTTATTTTCAGACCCAGAAAATGTGGTAAAGAGTGTGAAAGAAAGGGATGAAATTACCAGGATCCGGAAGATCCTCTGAATAAAAACATTGTCCAAATCTTTGTTGGGAGGATGTTTAAATACCCAGTGATGGGAAGAGTTTATTACACATCTATAACATTGAAACTAGCGCTGCTGTTGCTTAAACTCCAAGCTTAGTTCGATGGAAGATGGCTAATAAGGATAAAATAACAAAAACATGTATCCCTCTCAGCTGCCCTGCAGCCAAACACAAGATAAAACCTTCTGAGTGTATTGAAGGAACAAACAGTTCAACAGGACAAAAGCAAACAAACCCAGATCAGCTGCCAGAAACCTATCCAGCCATCCAAATCTAACCCACATCAGGGGCCTCAGCCGGGGCCATCAGGCCATTGGAGGTTATGGGAAAGAGATGTCAAGTGGAAAGAAATTAAACGGAGACATTTTCTTCAGTTCAAAAAGATTATGATGATCAGAAGGGAAAGCAGAAAAAGGCACGAAGCTCAAGCAGATCATAACATCAGTTTGGTTTGGATTATTTTCGCTGCAGCTCCTCGGCACATTTCCCCCCTTTGGTTTTCACAAAAGTGTTATTCTAAACACACTTGGTTTAATTAGAAATTCCCTCAAGCAGTTTTAGAGGCAGAAATGAAGTGAACACCAGATGAGATAAGAGCCTGAACCCCCCCGAGGCTCAGAGACAAAACAGGCACCACAGACCTAAATGAAAAGGCCGATAGATCAGGATCCTCATGAACCCTGGTTGCTCAAATGACAATCTGAGATCTGATCTCAAATAGATGTTGAACTTTACTCATATAATAAAATTAACAGGAAACAGTCTATAAATGACTCTGAAAGAAATCAGTTCTTTACCTAAACACTTGGCAAATCACCAGTAATATGTCATATTGCCTGACCTTTATGAACTAAATGGATGGGCAGGGATCAAACGAGAGGAGATTAAGGACAGTGGGACTGAAAAAAATATACAGCTTGTGTATACTGTAACTTAAAGCAGGAGTTGTTTCTCTGGACCAGCTGAAACAATTTAATCCTACCTTGTCCATCTCCTGCTGCAGGACCTGTTTAGCGACCTCCAGGTCCTGCAGCCGGACTCTTAGCTCTTCGTTCTCCTGCTCCAGACGCCCCCTTTTCTTCTCCACGCTGTCTAGCTGGCTATGGATACGAATGGAGACGTCCTTTGCCACCTAAAGAAAGAAGAAAAGGAGAACTTAGCAGACTGAGCTACTAAACTGCAAAAAGATGTAGCTTATCTTACTTTTATAATACCAACAATCTTTCTGACATAATTTGCCTTACTAATACCATTTCATAAGCAATAAAAGCAAAAGGACAGTAAGTAATCTATTGATTATTGCAAAAAAATCTTTGCTAAATAAAGGAGGTGGCTAAATTGGGTTTTGTTGATATTTCAAACTGACAATAAAGATATCAATAAAGACTAGTGCTGCAACTAACGATTATTTTGCAAATTGATTAATCTGTAGATAATTTTTTCGATTAAATGATTAATAATGGGATAGCCAAAGGTTCCATAAAGAAGATTTTTTACATAAATTAAACCAGGTGAAACTAAAACATTTCCACTTGAGGAGTTCTGGATAGAGCATATTGGCAGACAAACAACTTTTTTTCTTAAATGCAAAATGTTTATACATATTAGGGTTGAAGCCAATGATTGTTTAGCAAATCGATTAATCTGTTGATTATTTTTTCGATTAATTATCGGATAGCAAAATGTTCCTTAAAGAAGATTTTTTTCTCCAAAATAAACCAGGTGAAAATAAAACTTCTCCATTTAAGGGGTTCTGGATATAGGACTGGACAGGTAAAAACTAGCGTTGCACCGATAGCGTTACCAGTATTGGACAGGGCTCTGATACTGCACTAAATTGGTGGTATTGGCATCAGCGAGTACCAACAAAGAGGGCACCGATACAATTTTGAGAGCCAAAAGTTTATTCAACTATTGTCACCCATTCCAGGTAGGCAATAAGAAGTTCTACTGGATTCACTTTGTTTTAGTTTTTTTCCTGCTTCACAAAGGTAGGCAGCAGCTTGAAAAAGCCATGATGGCAATTATTTTACATCCAAGTAGTATGCAGTTCTTCATATACAGTATACACACACACACATCAATTTCAAACACATGGTATCAGTATGGTACCGGTATCGGTCGATACTGCATAGCCAGGTATCGGGTATTAGCCAAAAAAGGCATTGGCGCAACACTAGCAATGAAAATGTTTTTAAGCTTAAATGCAAAATGTGTTGGTATAATTACACCTCTTAGTGGGTTGCACTGACAGCTAAAAGCATACTTCACAGTTGTTATACTCCAGCTAACAATAAACTGATTACTATATTTAGTCTAAATTAGTTGACGATTATTTCAATAATTGAATAATCCAATTAATTGTTTAAGCCATAATAGAAAATTACTATTAGCACTTGTTTATGGCTGATCCAGATCTCTGCTGTCTTTAAGGTCTGATCAGCTCATTTCATGCTGATTGTGAAGGATTCTGACTACAAAGCATAACAGAGATTTGAATCATTGGTATTTTAAAACAAAAAAAGAGAAACATTTTCTTAAAGAAGAAAAAAACACATCAAATTCTTGGATTTTTAAGATTGTGTTCATATAATGAACAACTAAAGAGAACTCATAAAAACCAATTCAAAAATGTTTTCATTCACTTTTATACAAAATCACTTGATTGATCATCATAGAAACCTAAATGGTGTACACAATAATGCATGTTTCTTGGATCAGTTTTTTTTTTTTTTTTGGTAGAAGCTGACTGCCATGGGCAGGAGTCATCTCCTGTAGGGGTCAGTATTACATCCTGCCCGAAAAGGCCTCTGACTAAAGACACTCTGTTTTTTATAAAAGTGTGATGAGGAGGATGCTCAGGTGTGCCCATTTATTTTTTTCAAATTATCCTTCTATCAACAATTATCTCTACTAAACAGAGCCTGATTGGATCTGTTGCTGCTACTGTAACTGATGATGGCAGAAAAGATGGTGGACTGATGATAGATAGGCAGAAAATGATTGCTGCTGCTATGAGTATAGAACAGAAGAGAACAGAAAGGACCTTTTATATCTATAAGCTTTCATTACATCCGATCGCTCATGTGATCACCTATTTATTAAATAAAAACTGTATTCATGAGGACACTAAATGCATAAAATATTTATTTTTCAATAAATTGGACTAGTTTTTGGTTTAGTCAGTTTTATTTTCTATAAGTTCATAAAGGGGAATTTGTCCCCATCTATTAAACCCCTAAAAGTCTCAGGAGGGTTCTGGTATTTTATACCCAAATTGCTCCCATGAAAGTCTGATTGAAAGTCAAGGGCAGCTGTTCATTAAAAGTTTCTAAAGTCAAACAGTGAAACTAAAGTCAACTGCTTCATGTCTGCACTACGGCCTCCAGCCAGATGTGATCTTTCTCTCAGTCTACTTAAAACCATAACAATAAAATTACAGACTGACTGGTTCAAACCATGGTCAGCCAACCACGCACAAGTCAATACACCATTAAATCACATCACAGCAGATTTGAATCTATTTTAAACTGCACTTGGTTAAACAAAGCACGTAAAACCAGTGGGGGAGAAAACCACGTGTGAGTGCATGTGTTTCTAAAAGGGGACCTTTAAACATTTTGCAACAGAAAAGCTAGGATGGAGGTGTGCAGCTGAAAGGGTTAACAATGTAGCTTCATATAAATATCCCATAATCTGGTTTCATACGACATATTAAACTGGACAAAACATTTTGAAGAATGACTTCAATCAATTAAACAAATGCATAAATAAGTACTTCAGCTGTTTACAGTAGAAGACATTGGTACATTTAAAAAGAAAAGATTTACTAAAGCAGGACAACACTAAAAATGACCCCACTGCACCAGTCCACCCCCTCTCACACAGCGGATTAAAAGCCCCACAGTCTCACTGTCCTAAACTATGTGAAGATCATGGGACCACAGCAAATTTAGGTAACCTCATTGGGGTTTCAGGCCATTTATGATACTTCTAAACTCTTTATACATGGCATTAGTTTTTCCCCTGCTTCTTTCCCATCCGTTCTGCCACTGTGGGTATCACATTAGGTCACAATCTTAAGTATACCTCTAGATCATTGAGATGTTTCTGCACCTCCACCATCAGTTTACAGCCTTTACACCATCTGCAGGTGTGCATCACATATCACCCCCGACAGCAGTGTTTTCAGAGCTTGAGAGGAAACAGGAGGAGGTATGTTTTTTTCCACACATGCTGCATTCCCAGAGGAAAATGTTTCTTCTCAAAGCTTGCTCTTCTTTAGCTCATGAGACAGATTTAAGTTCATCTCAGGCTCAGTATAGCTTCTATTTTGTCCCAAGTGTTTCTCATGTGTTTCTCATAAAATTGATAGGAGAAATAAGGTCAGACATAGACTGCACGGTGGTGCAGTTTGTATCACTGTTCAGAATGGATTCCCACCCCAGGATATTTCGGCAAGGAGTTTGCATGTTCTCTCCATGCATACAAGGGTTCTCTCCGGGTACTCCAGCTTCCTTTCGCAGCACACAAACATGATTACTAGGTTAATTGGCTTCTTTGAATTGTCCTGTGAGTTTGTGTGTGCGTTGTTGTGTGTCTTTGTGTGTCTCTGTGTTGCCCTGCGACAACTGGCGATCTGTCCAGGCTGTACCCTGCCTCTCCCCTATAGAATGCCAGAGATAGGAACCGGCCTCACCTAGAGTCTGATGGAATAAGCGGGAGAAGATGGATGGATGGAGGGTGCAATGTTAACATTACAGTATAGAAGTCAAAGTTGAGATTTATAGTAGGTACCTTGCAAAACCTGAATATACCCATTCATACACACACACTCGCTTACCACACACCATAATGGCAAACCACATTAAAGACACAGCTGCCCTGGAGCTCACTGATACAAGCGAAGCTGCCATACACCACCAACACTGGTTCCTCTGACCAGCATCAGTTCTCTTCACATGCAATTTAAGTCACATGTCCAAGGACATAATGACAATGAAAGATGGAGGAAGGCAAACTCCTGCATCCGATGCCACGACCGCCCAACTGAGCAATATCTAAAGAAAATCCTGGATATGTAAATGTAGAGAGTGCCCCCACTTTGGTGATCCACATCTATCTGTATTTCAGAGTCGCATGCTGTTTTGAATGTGGCGTCAATTCTAAGAATGTTGTGTTTAATGATTTCCAAAAAAGACATAAAATATGTGATGAGACTAGATGTAGTTAATAGAGAGCTGTCTGATTTATCTGCTTCAGATCACAAGGAGACACAAAAGTTTAGGAAGTCTGAGAATTAACTTTGAGCTTGAGATCTTTTCTGAAACTTGAAAGGAAACCAAATGGAGCTTTAGTACATCTTTTTGCTCCAGAGGAAAAAAACTGAGACACAGGAGAAATAAACCTTAGTCTCATTTTGGTGTCTCACAGATCTCATAGTTGTCTAGGAGAACTACATGAAACATTTTGGAGATCTCATTTCAGATTTTCCTTTCCTCTGGGTTTGACCAAACCTGATATCTTGTACAGCGATTTAAAGACGGCACAGCAATCTCTCCACAGAAATCTAATAGAAAATGGAAATGATCTCCATAAGTCACGTGATAAAACTTGAAAATAGGATTACGGATGCTATATAACCTGCTTTGTTCTCCCAGTGAATGCCCTATACGGATTTTAGAGGCGTAAAATAATCTATTCAGTTTGCAGTAATATTCCATAGAGAGCATAGCATCACCTAAGCTTCATGCACAGGAAGCCTGATAACTACTGGTTTGGAAATCCATTTTTTTTGTTTTTTTGCCTTTGTTTTCAAACAGAGCAGCAGTATCAGGTTCTGTGCATAGAGACCTCACTAGCAGTACTTTAAATTATTAGCGCTGACAGACAAATTTGGCTCCAAATTCAACAGAATTCATTCCAAAGTAGAAGAAAAACGTATCATTACCCAGGTCTCAGATATGCGGCTAACACTAAAATAACCCTAATTAACTTCCTATGGATGTTTTGAGTAAGCTCCAAATGATCAAGATTCTCTCGATTTTTTTTTTTCTAATCCTACATGACCGTTCCAGATCTTTGACAACCCATCCATCCCACCCATCTCACCTTACTGTTATGCCATCTATA